GAGCATATCTTTGACGTACTTAGCTTGATTGATGAAGATGCCATCTTTCCTTTGCTTGATTTGGAGTCCCAAGAAAAATGAGAGCTCCCCCATCATGCTCATCTCGAATTCACTTTGCATTAGCTTAGAAAATTCTTGGCATAGAACGTCATTAGTAGAACCAAATATTATATCATCAACATAAATTTGAACTACTAATAAATCTTTACCTTTATGCTTTAAAAACAATGTAGTGTCAACCTTCCCTTTGGAAAAACCTTTTTCAATTAAAAAGTTTGACAATTTTTCATACCAAGCTCTAGGAGCTTGTTTTAAACCATAAAGCGCTTTTGTCAATTTAAGAACTTGGTTTGGAAATTTTAAATCTTCAAAACCTGGAGATTGTTCCACATACACTTCTTCTTTTATAAAACCATTTAAAAATGCACTTTTAACATCCATTTGATATAATTTAAATTCATGAAAACATGAAAATGCTAATAACATTCTAGTTGCTTCCATCCTAGCTACGGGAGCGTATGTTTCATCATAGTCTATGCCCTCTTATTGAGTGTACCCTTGAGCAACAAGTCTAGCCTTGTTTCTCACTATATTACCACTTTCATCAAGCTTATTCCTAAATACCCATCTAGCACCTACAATAGATTTATTACTAGGCCTTTCAATTAATATCCATACTTTACTTCTCTCAAATTGATTTAACTCTTCTTGCATAGCCATAATCCAATGTTCATCATTTAATGCTTCTTTAATATTCTTAGGCTCTATGCATGAGATAAATGCAACATAATTACAAATATTTCTAAGAGAAGATCGAGTTGTTACCCCTTTGGATGGATTACCTATAATTTCACCATCCTTGACATAGTTGTACTCTCTTGGATAAGATACTTCCCTTTCTTCAATGGTTGGATTCTCGAGAGGATCATGAGTTTCCTCATTTTTTGTTTCTTCCTTTGATGATGGTTCTCCAACGTCATATCTAACGTCATTTGTATTTATAATACCTACATCATCATTCACACAAGAATCCTTCCTCGGAAGGAGATTATCATCGAAAACATAATGTATAGACTCTTCTAAAACTAAAGTTCTTTTATTAAAAACTCGATAAGCTCTAGAATTTAAGGAATAACCCAGAAAAATTCCTTCATCACTTTTAGCATCAAATTTGCCAAGATTGTCTTTATCGTTGTTTAAAACAAAACATTTACATCCAAAAGGATGAAAATAGATAATGTTAGGCTTTTTATTTTTAAAAAGTTCATATGGAGTTTTCTTCAAAATAAGCCTAATCATTACTCGATTAATAACATAACAAGCGGTATTTGTGGCTTCTGCCCAAAAATATTTTGGCAAATTGTTTTCACAAAGCATGGTTCTAGCCATTTCTTCTAAAGTTCGATTTTCCTCTCAACAACTCCATTTTGTTGAGGGATTCTAGGTGCTAAAAAATTATGGCTAATACCATTATAATTACAAAATTCAATAAATCCAAGATTTTCAAATTCAGTTCCATGGTCACTCCTAACACTAGTTATAGAGTAACCTTTTTCATTTTGGATTACTTTTGAAAACGTGATGAATTTTTCTAATGCTTCATCTTTAGTACTTAAAAATATAACCCAAGTATATCTAGAATAGTCATCTACCAAAACAAATGCATATTGTTTTCCACCCAAACTAGTAGTTCTAGATGTCCCAAAAAGATCTAAATGGATCAATTGTAATACTCCACTAGTGCATATGTCATTAATTGATTTAAAAGAAACTCGTTTTTGTTTTTCTTTAGCACAAGCATCACAGATTTTATCATTATCAAATTTTAGTTTAGGCAACCCTTCTACTAAATCTCCTTGAATTAGCCGTTGTAAAACACTCATACTAGCATGTCCTAGTCTCCTATGCCATAACCAACTATCATGCTTATCCTTAGCAACTAGGCATAAATTAGTCATATCAATAAAATCTAAATGCACTATGTATATGTCTCTATTTTATGACCAACAAGCATAATCAAAATAGATGCAATGTCAATCAATTTTGTAATCATTTAAAATAAGACATTATATCTTTTATCAAATTAATTTTTCAAAAGATTATGCTTTTAACCCATTCACATATAAAATATTATGCAATGATGATTATAGAGATTAATTGCATATGCATAAAGTTTTAAAGATGTTATGTATTAAAAGTTGATATCATTGAAAATTTGAAATCTATGCAGAAACATTAAAAAGTTTAAGGTAAAAAATTTGTAAAACCAAAGTTCTTGAAAAATCGATATCAATTGTTAAATAGATATCAATTACATTTTAAAAACAATTTTGACCAAAAATTAATATGATGAACTAGAGTTTATAAAACATTACCAAAATTTACTATGTTCATCATACAATATCTTTCAACATACATGAGATAACACATAATCATTTAGAACATTTAAAACCTCATGCATGCATAAACTAAATGAGCAACCAAATATAATAAATACATTAAGTTTAGAGGTTACTCATTCCTTTTTCATATGTGGCTAGAGCATATTGAATATCATCATCTTCATCACCATTGCTCCCACACACCTACAAGAGACATTTAAGTAGATTTTGGTATCTAAATTGCTTTGGATCTGTGAATGTTAGTTTCAATGCCCCTTGTTCCTTTCGGAACCCATACTTGTCTAATTTTAAATCTTTTTCCTTTCTTTAAAGGACAAGTATGTTCCTTATGACCATAATAATGACAATGTGAACATATTGCCATTATTGAACTAGATGAATTATTTAAAATGATCTCTTTTTCTTTTGTTAAGCATTCAATCTTAACTTTCAAATCAAAATTTTCTTTTTCAATACTTTCAAATTTCATTTTTGAAAGCTCTAAATCCTTCTTCAAGAGTTTATTTTGATTTTCAAAATCCATTTTCGTTTCTAGAAGAAGTTTGTTTAATTTGAAAATTTCTTTTTCAAAGTTTTCAGATTTTAGTTTTGAAAGCTCTAACTCCTTTTTCACCATATCATTTTGATTTTCCAAGTATGTTTTAGCTTTCAAAAGAAGATCATTTTTAGCTATAAATTTAGAAATAAAATTCCTATATTTGGAGTTCATGGTCTCAAACTTCGAAAATAATTCATCATAAGCATCTTGTAATTCATTAAAAGATTTTGAATTTAATTTATTTGAGTTAGAAGATACCTTTGGCTCTGTGAGAGCTAATAGAGACATCACCTTTATTGGTTCTTCTTCTTCCTTGTCTCCATAGATCTCCTCAAGCTTATCCCACATTACCTTGGCACTTGAACAAGAATAAACTCCTTTATATACATTAGGATCAATTGCACAACATAACATGTGCATAGCCTTTGTGTTTTGTTGAGCTTTCTTCCGTTCTTGATCACTCCACTTCTTTACCTTTTTCGTAGGAGAGGAATACCCTTTCTCGATTATCATCCAAGCTTCCATATCAAATGCTTGGATAAATATCATCATAAACCTCTTACAATGATGATAATTTGTTCCGTTGAAGTATGGAGGCACGTTAATTGGACTGGATTATTCCATGGAGAATGAACCGGAAATGGACATCATCTTTATCAATTTAACTCTTCCCGAATCGACTCAAGAGGTGGTTAAACCTTCAAATGAGTGAGGCTCTGATACCAATTGTTGAGTTAATCGATTGATGAAATTGGCCAAGAGGGGGTGAATTGGCAATTAAAATTTTGGTGGAAGCTTTTGCTGAAAATTGAAAATATTTACACAGCGATTTAGAGTGGTTCGACTTTCTCAACCAAAGTCTACGTCCACTACCTTAGCTATCCATACTAAGGATTTTCCAACAAATCCACTAATTTGTTCTTTCTTTTGAGGATAAAGAGTAACCTTACAACTCCCCCAAGAATTATACCCCAAATTCTTGAGCACACTCTTTTTCAAAGAGAAATACACAAATTTGCAAACTTACAAGAAAAAACTCACAATGTAGATTGTTTGCCCAATTCTAGAACAAAGAAAAAAACACTCAAGAATGAATACAATTGAGTAAAAGTAGTATTCTTTAAATCAAAATGAATATTGAATGAAAAATAGGCCTGAAGTGCTCAAACAATGAGTTTGATGCTTTCTCTTTGATTCTCTCTTGATTCTAGTTTCTTGTTGTTTCTATTTGTTTCTTCTTTTTGATCAATGGCTTCTTAGCTTGTTTAAATAACCATTCAATTGATTTTGAACATTGGGGATGATTAGTGGAGTCAATAGAACCGTTTAAGTGTGAAAACAATTAATAAAATCAGTTGGGAGCGTCAGTGGATCGATACATACACAAGATGCATCGGTGCATCAAGTGTAAAATTCAAATATTTTGACCGTTGGAACACTTAGTGCATCGGTGCACTAAGTGTGCATCGATGCATAAAATGCATTCGATGGTTCAAAATAGCCTGAGTGCATCGATGCATCAAATGCATTCGATGTTTTCATAAAACCCTGAGTGCATCGATGCATGGTATGTGCATCGATGCATAAAATGCATTCGATGTTCAATTTATCCAATGGTGCATCGATGCATGGATTGGTGCATCGGTGCATCCCTTTGAAAATTGATTTTAGGCTTGATTTTGGTTCAAAATACTTTGAGAAAATTGTTTCAAAAATATATTAAGTATAAAACACAATTTTACACATTTAGTAAGGTTTGAAATTGATCTTGAAAGACTTGGAGTAATAATTTGATATTCGATTAATTAAATCGAATATACTTATAAAAATCTTTTGTAAAATCTTAAAATTCATTTATACTTAGTTTGTTATATCGAAACATCAAAATGTTTTCAACACTCTCCCATAACCAAAGGGAAAGTAGTGGAATTTGATTCTGTTTAGGAATTGGGATGCCAATGAATTTGAATTGCAATGTGAATTTCTTCAAGGACACAATATTTACAAAAGATTTAAAACATTTTGGGTACATACAAAATCAATGGATCTTTTACATAAAATATTTAAGAACAATATTCATGTTACACGACCTGCTAAACACCGAGCTCTGTTCTCCAAGTAGTGGAAGGAAATCAGAGAAGATTTGATATGGCATTACAAGAAACCCAGAAGGCTTTGGAGGCAGCTCTTAGAAGTAGAGGGTTTTGGTATATCTTGTCCATAACGAATGAAACAACAAATCAAATAAATGTATTAGAACATCTGCCAATGGAACCGGGAAACACTTGTTTGTTGATATTAAAATCGAAACCCACCCAATTGCAGTAGCTCCCCATGATGCCACATTATAAACGACTTTGCTTCCGTCCCACGCTTTTCGAATCTTTTCTTTTTTCTTCTTAACGGAGAAGGCCTTGCTCAGTGCTACAGATTGAATTCAAACTAAAGTTAGAACTCATAATGCCGAAGTAGTGGTAAAAAATATAGGAAAATATAAGTCAATAAGTGAAATGATATATATTTGTTTAAACATTTAGGAAAAACACAGACTCACCTTCCTGAAGTTGATTGGGGGTCAAATCATGGGAAAGAAAACAAAAGTTTCTTTAGCATCCATGGTGAAAAATCTGACACAAGACTAACAAAAGCCAAGAATTTCACATACCTTGGTATGTTTAAAGGACAACAAATATGCAGCCATAAAACATGCAAAGCCTTCTACTATATCCTCCTGCCTACCAAGAACATAATCTTCTCGATCCAAATCAATATCTTTATCTTCCCAAAGATCATTTTCATTGACCATGTCCCAAGAACTACCTTCTTCTGGTTCCATGGAAGAATTTCATTAGCAACCAGACATCAAGTTTCTTTTAAAACACAAACAAGAAGTTTCATTTCAATTTATTGACTATATATGCTTGTTAAAAGTTTTGCAATGAGTTGAAATGATGTATGTTAACAGTCTAAAGGGGACCATCTTCAGATACATAACTGAAATGTTTTCAGGAACTGGCACCTGAGCACATTCTAACTTTTCTAGGAAATCAGAGCATTGAACTCTGGATTTCAGAAGATCGCACAACTGCATTTAAAATAAAAGGGGCACAAACTTTCAATATCAATTTATTTGGCAATGTTTGATAAAAAGAAAATGCAAACATCATCAACATTTTTCTTTCTAGCAGGTTGTTGATTGCCATAAAGCTATTTACATTAAAAGAAAACAAAAAGAAAACTACATTATAAACTTAAGTTTTTGAGCATCTCAGATCGAGTACAAGGAATCATTATAATCCTTTCTATCTTCAGAACAAAAATGAGCAAGAGAGAAAGAGACGTAGAGAGAGAAAAGTTGAAAGGCAAGTTAGTTTTCGATGAGACTTGGACGATGTTCGTGGATAATCTTAGTAGGAGAGTGTCTCGACATTCGTTAAGGGAATTGTTCTTAGTCCATGGTTCAGTTGAGAGAGTTTTCATTCCCAAAGAAACAAGAAATCCAAAATATAGATTTTCCACTTTTGCTTTTGTCTAGTTTAAGAGTGAGACAGGTCTGCAAAGTGTAATAGATAAATTAAATGGGGTATTGATAGATGGGAGAAAGATTTCAGTTGGAGTTGTAAGATATAAGGAAGCTCTTACAAGGTTAGTGGGGAAGAATAGTTATTCGAAGAAGGTTTTAAGTCCGAATAATACAGAAACTTCAAATTCAAAAGAGGTTAAAGACATTAACAGAAGCATAAGGGATTATAGAACTTATAGAGATGCTTTGATGTCGAACAGAATTACAATGGGAAACAAGGAGTTTTCATCTGATGGTCTTCACAGGGGGAAGTCTAAGAAAAATATCTTTGAAATACACATTCCCTCTGAAAGTTCTAGCTGGGTTAAAAGGTCATTAACGGGGATCTTTAAACCTTCATTTGAGCTTGAGTTAGTTCAGAATGCTTTAGTTAATGAAGGTTTAGATGTTAAAATTGCTAGATGCGACAATGTATGGAATTCTTGCGCAATAACTTTTAAATCATCTAAAGTGATGATGGAGGTATGGATGAAGAAGAAATATGATTTAGACTTCTGGTTTGATCGACTGGCACAAATGTTGAATGAAGAAGGGGTCCCAATGTCTTTATGTATGGTCGAACTATTTGGGGTCCCTCTATTATGTTGGAATGATCTATTCTTCGAACAGATAACAAAAAGATGGGGAACGGTGGTAGGCCTCTATGATTCAACTAGAAATATGGTTTATCTTACAACAGTGAAAATTTTATTGAGGGTGGCAAGCCCTTTTGATGTTCCGGAGGTGGTCACACGAGGATCATATGGAAGATCCTTCAAAGTTATCATTAAGGTTGGATCGGCATGGGAGTCATCAAATTCTTTTTCCAGTAAACCTCTGGTGGATGGTTCTGGTGGAGGATATTTTGGAGTTATGATGTCTGATGAGGAAGAAAACAATATGATATCAGAAAGTGGGAAAGTTTAGCAGAAGAAAATCGGCAAAGAGTTGACAATTGGATTGATCAGGGAGCTATTCTCGGGTTTGGTGGAGTAGGTGGGGAACAACTTTTTCCAAGGCTATCATTAGATAGGAAATGTATTAAAAGTGGGCTGCCATAAAGTCAGAATATTGTGAATTCAAAAGTGGGGGAGTTTGTCGGTTTGGGAATTAGAAATTCAAATATTTCGGCTGATGGGTCACATGCCCATTCTGAAGATTATGGGCAAACCATGTTGAATGGCTCAAAGGTAATTCCTTCTGGCCCAACATTCAAAATCAACAAATCTGGGAGAATGGTTTAGAATTTGGATTCGGCTGAATATTGTAGCAGAATGAAAGAAGATAAGAGAAAGAGTTCAAATGCAGAGATGTCTAAAAGGGATGATTTTGAGGTTCAGGATACTGATTGTAGACTATTTGATTCTATCATTATTAATGCAGGAATTAATTCAGGGGCAGACAGCTTAATTGGCCTAAAAAATCGCTTTCTTCTAAGAGTGAACCGGTGAAGAGAAGAAGTTTGATAAGGTTTAAAAGGGTTTATATAAGGTCGAAGAATAGGAAATATTGGCTTTCGAATGAACATTATTTTATACCTGAAAGAGAGGAAGTCAGAGTCACAAAGAATGGCCAAGACATGGCCCTTACAGCTACTCAACAGACTTGTTCAACAGCTGACATGAATGTTTATGGGTGTGAGGATTCTACTAAGGATAAAGGTTCAGAAGATAGGAGTGTGGAGAGGGAGTTAGAAGGGTGGTGTTCATAAGGAGAATGATTAAATTTAAAATATAGTTTCTTTAACAGAAGAGCCAAAAATATTCTGTTAAAGGAAGCACTAGAACAAGTGAGTATTGCAACAGCTTCCTCTTCAGCCTGCTCAGTTTTCTTGGAGGAAGCTTTAGCTACTTAGGAAGTAAGTAAGCTTCTGGGGGTGTCTTTTAAGCAAGGGAAAGCAGATTTTTTGGAAAAATCATAAATTTGGAGAAAGGACGAAATGTGGTTAAACAAGGTGATTTTGAAGGGGGTGTTTAGATAGTATGTTTTTAATGATGAACATAAAGCTTTCCATTTCTTCATGAAATGTTAGGGGTTTAGGAAGAAAAGAAAAATAGAGGGTTGTTCAGAATCTAATATCTAATATCTATCATTCTTTTCTATGGCTGCAAGAAACTAAAACCGAGAAGATTCACAGATCTTTTTTGAGAAAAAGAGGGCTAAATAATATTCAAGGTGTTATTGATTCTCTTTCGGTTGGATCATTAGGGGGTTTATTGTGTTGTTGAGATGAAAATATTTTCCAGCTATAAAATCAGTACATTAGCAGAAGATTTATTGCCATTTCAGGGATATTTCGAGTGAATAATTTTAGATGCGGATTTATCAATGTTTACGACCCATCAGTGGAGGACGAGAAAGAAAGTTTTTTTGAATAATTAAGCATGTATATAAGTGGATTGAATCTTCCAGTTTGTGTGGGAGGAGATTTTAATGTTTATTTAAATGATGAGGAGAAGGTTGGTAGAGGTCAGAATAGGAACTCAATGAGAATCTTCAGCCAGTTTATTCTTCAAACATGATTAATTGATCATCCATTACATGGTGGCAGGTTTACTTGGTGCAATAACCAAGATAACCCCACTTTTGTAAGATTGGATCAGTTTTTGGTTGATGATCAATTTATGGCTGCTTTTCCGGATATTGTTCAATCAATTCTACCAAAATTTGTCTCAGATAACAATGCTATCAAGCTTGAGAATGAAGGAGTTAATTGGGGAAAAACCATTTAGACTATTTAATTATTTGATGGAGGAGGATGGGTTTGAGGATATGGTAAGGAATTCTATTCAAGTATGTAAGAATAGCCACAACAAATCTGGAATTTTTAGTATATTGAAGAAAACTAAATTAGTAATTAAGGATTGGGCTGGGAAGAGAGATCATTTTCCAGGAGCTTTAATTATTGATCTAGAAAGGAAGATTCATAAGCTGGAGGTTGATTTTCAGCAGTAGCAAGGTGTTTTTGACAGTGGAAGAGTTGCAGAATTGAATTTTCATAGAATAGAACCATGGAGACTGTACAAGATTGAGGAGCAGATTTGGTTTCAGAATTCAAGATCTAAGTGGGTAGAAGATGGGGATCGAAACACTAGATTCTTCCATACTAGTGCTTCAATTAGGAGAAAGAGGAATGCCTTGAATGCTTTAAATATTAAGGGGAAGATTATGCAAAACCCGACAATTATTAAGGCCACTGTCAAGGAACATTTCTTTAAAAATTTTAATGTTCGATCTACCTTGGATGTTGAGGACATAAAGTTGAATTTTTCCAGAATTTCATTACAGCAGAGCCTGTTTTTAGAAAAAGAATTCTCAGAGGATGAAGTATGAGAAACTTCGAAGTCTTGTAATAGCAATAAAGCTCCGGTGCCAGATGATTTAAATTTAGGCTTCTTCAAAAGGTTTTAGCATGTACTTAAGGAAGATATTATGAATTTCTTTCACAACTTCTACTTGGGGAAGGAATAGGATCATGGGATTAATCATACATTTATTACTCTTATTTCAAAGGGTTCTAACATTGGTTGTCTTGATGACTATAGGCCTATCAATTTAGTAGGCGGGTTATATAAGATCCTTTCTAAGTGTCTTTCGAGGAGGTTAAGGAGTTGTATTTCATATATCATTAGCCCAACTCAATTTGCATTCGTACTCAGTCGTCAAATATTAGATTTCTCCCTAATTGCTAATGAAGGAATAGATTTTTGGAGGAAAAATGGATTCAAGGGTTGTGTTTTCAAGGTTGATTTCAAGAAGGCATATGATACAGTTGATTGGCTTATTTTATTCAAAGTAATAGAGAAGATGGGATTTGGTTCTAGATGGACTGGTTGGATCAGAAAATGTGTAACAATAATCTCTGTTTTAGTTTTAGTTAATAGGGTTCCTTATGAGGAGGTCTCAATGGCAAAGGGTCTTTGCCAAGGTTGTTATTTATCTCCATTGTTGTTCAATCTGGTAGGGGAACTGCTCAATTTATTGATCAATAAGGTTATTTCAGAGAGGTTATTTTTAGGTTTGGTTATTAGCAGGGAGGAGGCATCTTTTAATTTATCTCATCTACAATTTGCAGATGATCTTATCATCTTTTGTGGTAATTCGAAGATGCAGATTTTGAATGTAAAGAGGGTACTTCGTGTATTTAAAGTTATTTCTGGTTTACAATTGAATCTGAAGAAAAGTAAACTGTTTGGTGTTAATTTGAATGAAAGGGAAAATCAGGAGTGGGCAAAGGCTATAGGATGTGCAGTTGGTTACTTTCGTTCAGAGTACCTAGAACTTCCTCTTGGGGCTAATAGAAACTCTTCAGTTATTTGGATCCAGTGGTTTAAAATTTCTATAACAAACTTGCTGGTTGGAAGACATCTTCTCTTTCACTGGCAGGGAGATTGGTATTGATAAAGTCGATCATTTATTCGCTTCGAACATATTATTTCTGTAGGTTATGCAATAGATAAGTTAGTATTTTAATATAACACTAACTCTTAGAAAGTTAGATAGATAAGGATAGCTACTAAGTA